AGCTTGTTCATAAGCTCCTGTTCTATTAACAGATAAACATTATTTTCCTATAGGAACTAATTTCCCCTCTACCTTCTGGTCTCTATACATTAGAACCCTGAACAAAGTTCTACAATTAAAAAAGGTTAATAATGATGAAAATGATGGCACTGACAATATAAAGTGACTACTATTTATTCATTTATTTCAGCAAATAACATTATATAATACTCCTTGTATCAATATGTTTTATTATCCTCACTATATAAAGCGAGGAAATGGAGGTTAAGATTTGTTCAAAGTCTTCAAAATAATTTCAATCAATAGTTCAACCAATATATTATATTTAGATATTATTTTGAAAGCAAACAAGAAAGAGTGAAAGATTATGGTCTCTTGAACTCTGGCGATCTAAATACACAATACCAGTAAACTAAAATTCAAAAAAATGGCTTTAAGTGTGTTGATCTGAGACTTAACTCACAAGTAAATAAAACCTCAATAAATGCTGCAAACATTGAAGCAAAAAAGTTACCAGTGCTTACTGGATAAACACGAAATAATGGTACCAAGGTTCTGCATTTAAATTTTCAGAGGTTTTGTTTTACATACTTTAGCATAATCTTTACAAACATTGTGGGAAAGAGCCAGGTTAATACATAACATAAAATTAAATAAGAAAAGGGTGCTTTCAGAGGGGTGGGTAAGAATGTTGAAAGGGGTATGTGACAGTGATATGCTGTATTCACTAACTGCTTTGGTGAATGGCAACTCCTTTACACAACTACTTAAAGAGAATAAAATATTTTAAAATGTATATTACTCATGTTATAGATGAGACACTAAAACTAGTATTTACACTGAATGCAAGTATGCATAAATTGAGAGGCTGCTGGTGCTGTTTTTTAACTAGAAAGAAAGACTGGGATTTCTGAGGCAGTTGAAATAATACAAAAGTAGAATTGCTGCAAAAAAGGCTATATAAGGACTGGGAGAAAAATGTATATTTCTTTCTGACCATCTATTTCTAGTTGGTTTAAACGAACAATAATGACAACAGAAAAGTATTTTATTTCAAAAGTAAATTTTATTGACAACTCTTTTGACATTATGTGACTCAGCAACAACTTCTAGGTTCTGTCTGTTAATATAAAATATACCCTTCTAGAGCTGTGTTTTTATGAATTCTACATTTAACCCAACTGTCAAATTCATAAGTAAGCTAATTATAAGAGCTGTTGTCTACTGACTAGAAAATACTCATTTCACACCTTAAATACTATGATACTACCTAACAGAGTTGGTCTGCCAATATGTACGTTTGTTTCGGTTAGGGAAGGGAAGGGAAACAACTGAATGATAAGAGAAAGAACTAGGGGAGAACCAAAGCAACAGTGATATACATAATACAATAAGTTAGAAATGATCTGTACAACTTGGGGAGGTGATTGGGGGGGAGGGAACTTAGGAAAAAAATTGAGGGAAGGGATAACAAGGTTGAGAAGAAATGTACTCATTACCTTGCTTATGTAATTAAAACCCCTCTGTATATTCACCTTGACAATAATTTTAAAAGAAAGACCCACTTTGATGTACTTTATTTACTATCTGATCTTTTTATCTTGTTTTTAATTACAATAAAAATTAGTATCACAACCTTACAACAGTGACAATCATTGATTTAAAAATTTAGTTAACAACATTAGTATTTATTGCATAGACTCGAATTAAGAGCTCATTTAAGAATATAATTATTCAATAATACTAAGCTATTTTAGTCCTCAAACTATTCAAGGACAAGGACAAAATGAACTATAATGCAACACTATGTCTTTATATGAAAACACTCTTCTTAAAGTGTTATGTCCATTATTTCCTATAATTAGCTAAACTAAAAATGTAAAATATAATTCATCAACAATACATAAAAACATAAGGAGAAATTTTCTTCCTTCAAAATGTTTTTCCATTTGTACTATTTATTTCATTATACTTAATGTTATTAACACCATGGATTACATATAATTAGTATTCTTGTGCTAGATGCCAAATAATGAATATTTTCTTAACTACCTTTTATTTTCTCTTTTTTCATTTTTGTTGTGATTAACAGTGACATATTAAGATAGGTAACTCTGCCTATTATTCAGTATTTCAAGTGTTAGTTTATACTTCAAGATTAAAAGAAAGATTTAGAGAATTGTAACATTTATAAGGTAGAATGCTACAGTGAAAATATAATGCCTACATATGAGCTATGCTGCTGTGATATACCTTTTAGAACAACATGGCAAAAAGCCTTTTGTAGAACTGGTGACATTTTGTATACCAATCTGACATGGTATAATACTGGAAACTTAGAGATGTCAAGTATTTCAATTACCATCTCATTATGGAATTCATAAACAAACTGTAAAAATTTTCATTTACTATATTATGTGCCTCCTACATGCAAGGGCCATTTCTAGATGCTAAAGAGTTGTCAAAGATATGAAGAAAATAATGACAATTAAGAAAATAGAATATGCATACAAAAGATAATGTAAAACAAGCATAAATTCCATGTTTACTATATAAAAAATACTATCACTATTCAAATGAGTTTCCATGAATATAATGGTTCTTAACTAAGTTTTATAGTTTTTACCTTATTATTATTGTAACTAATTTGAAGAACAACCTATCTAATTAAAATGTCTCTTCATTTATAATTGTAAATATACTAATAATGAACTATGGTAAATAATGCTGCAATGAGCATAGTTGTGCTGGTAGCTTTAGTGTGTCCTAGATTGAGATCATTTGGATAAATGCCCATAGGGAGATTGTTAGATCATAGGAGAGCTCTATGTTTAGTCCTTTGAGGAACAGCCATATTGCCTTCCAGAGTGGTTGAACCAGCTTCCATTCCCACCAACAGCGCAGTAGGGTTCCCTTTTGGCCACATCCCCGCCAGCATCTGTTATTACTTGTCTTCTTGATAATGGCCATTTTAACTGGGATGAGGTAGAATCTCAATGTGGTTTTGATTTGTATTTCTTTTATGGCCAGAGAAGTTGAGCATTTCTTCATGTGTCTATTGGCCATGCTTATTTCCTCTCCAGAGAATACTCTTTTTCATTCTTTAGCCCACTTATTAATGGGGTAGTTGTTTCTCTGGGGATTTGTTGGGGGGAGTTAATTTTTTGAGCTGTAGTTATATTTTTATATGAGACTCTTGTCTATTGTATAGCTAGTGAAGATCCTCTCCCAATCTGTGGCCTTTCTATTTATCTTGTTGCCTATGTCCTTTGTCATGCAGAAGCTCTGTAATTTAATGTGATCCCATTTATTCAGACTTTCTTTGATTTGTTTGTTTCTGGATTTTTATTTAGGAATTTTTGACCTGTGCCCTATCCATTTATTTACCATAACTAAGATACGGAACCAACCCAGATGCCCCTCAATAGATGATCAAGAAAATGTGGTATATTTACACAATGGAATTGTATGCTTCTATCAGAAAGAATGACATCGTCCCTTTTGTAAGGAAATAGAAAGACTAGGAAAAAATCATATTAAGTGAAAAATCATATTAAGCCCCTTTCGTAAGGAAATGGAAAGACTTGGGGAAAAATCATATTAAGTGAAGTAAGCCAGACCCAAAGAAACATAGGCTCTATGGTTTTCCTCATTTGTAATAATTAGTATAAGCCTAGGTTAGTCCTGACAGAGATTCATAATAGCTCAAGAACTATGAACATATGACATAAAAAATTATACTAATTGAAATGAACTCCAAGACATGGAAACAACAGGTCTTTTTTTTTGTTTTTTTAGCCGTTAACCTTGATGTCACCAATGTACTGTATCTAGTTCTTTCTTCTTACATTATTTGATTTTTCTTTTTCCATTAGTTTATCCCTGGCAATCTCTGTCTTTGATTATGGTACCTTCCATCTTGTTTATCTGATTGGAGGATGGGAAATAACAAAATGCTGAAAGTACAAAGGATGACCCCTTGCAACAATGATACAGGACACTGTCAGAAATGAACTTTACAAATTATCACGGGGAAAAGGAGTCATGGGAGGGAAGGGATAGTGGGAGAACAACAATGGAGTGGGTAACGATGTTCAATTAGAAATGTAGTTTACTCATGTAAATGTAACCCCTCTGTACAGCATCTTTACAATAAAATAAAATTTAAAAAGAAATAAAAAATAAATATACTAATATGGACTCTTAAGGATATTTCTTTCTTAAAATAAAATGACTAAGTCCTTATACCACTTTAGTTTAGTATACAATTTTCAAATGTTACCAGAAAAACTTTAATCTTTGTCTTCCTGAATTTCCCTGATACAAGGGACAAAAATTAATCAACATTTACAAAAATATGTCATAAGGAAGCCATTACCAAAAATGATAAAGTATACATTATTCTTAACTAGTGTATTCATTTTTTTGAGAGGAGGAAGGCACCAGGATTTGAACTCGACTATCTGAGCCATGATCCCAATCCTTAGTGCAGCTAGTTTAAAAATTACTAACTGAGATCCAGCTTTCCTATTTGCTGATGTCCCCAACTAGGATATTAACAAACAATACTTAGATAAAACACAAATTCCATTCTTAAGCTCTTAGACATTCCTATGCAATATACTCTGTATTAGCAGAAACTTCAACAAAGAAAAACTTGTAGTACTAGAAGAACCATATTATAAAAAATCCAGACTTATAAAATGGAATAAAACGGAGCTTAATTATTACATGAACATTCACTTGAGTCACTCTACTATAGGCTAACCACAGATATAAACATTTACCGCTATTTATTCAAGAATTTATTGTGTTTTCTTTACAGATACTTGTTAAATCTAGAAACAATTACAATCAGCTATCATCACAATGGTCTTCACATACATCATTCTTTTAAAGCACAAGTAGCAGTCTTATTCTAAGATTATTATTATAATCCTCTAAGATCATGTTTTATATTTTAGCTTATAAAATTATGCAGCCATTTACTTATCACCTACCTATATGAATTAAAAGTCCCCTCACAGTCTAAGGCTGAATTTGTTCTTCTTCCATTTTTATTTGAATCTCCTGAAAAAAAAATAAAAACACTGAAATAATGAAATTTAGAAAATTGAACATTTCAGCTGAAAAAGTATGTGAGAGCTCTAATAGTCTCCCAAAGCATGCATAGTTTCTTTTCATCTTTTCCAAACTACATTCGAATATAAATATTCAGAGCCTTTTAGGAAAAACATTAATCAGTAACATTAATGAAACAAGTATGGTACTTTTGTCTCAAGAATCATAAACTAAAATTTATAAACCATTTAATTATAAGCTGTTTGCAAAAAATACAATTTTTAATAGTAATCTTGATCACTTATCCTCACCACTGGTACAGCTCAAAGAAGACCTCTTATCTCCCTCTGCTAGCCTCTCACTTTTCTGCTATGTAGAAATTTCCTAAGCAGAGGAAAAGCAGAAACCAGACTTGGAAAGCAGTGACGGTGATCAAGAACAAATTTCAATTAACTTTATAGTATAATCAATGATTTTCCCCCAAAAAAACTTCATGTTTTAACTTTTAGCCTTAGGTTTGAATTATTTGAAGCTCAGAAATTTAAAACATATTAAAAAAAAACCATAGAAATGGGCAGTTGTGTCTCCTATAGTAACACTTACAATACTTCTTGACAAAAAGAAATATCATATTTATATGCTTAAATAAGAATACAGGTTTACCCATTGTAACAATGAGATGTACAAAACACTATGTTGAAAACAAACCTTATGACTTCAGCAGTGGGGGTGGGTAGTTCTAGTGGGAGGGAAGAGATGGTAGAAAAAACAAAGGAGGAAGCAACAATGCTCATGTACTCATTACCTTGCTCATGTAACTGTAACCCCTCTGCACAGCATTTTTACATAAAAACATACAAAAAATAAAAAAAATAAAATCTAATAAATGATAAATTCACACATCAGTTTAAAAATCAGTATAGAATAAAAATAAACTCAGTAAGTTTTCTTAACATTTAGTAATGCCCCAATATAAAATATTTAATAATTAATTTAATAATTCATGAAAAATATAAGCTAGTTTTTATGTTATCTATAGTATACTTAAAAATAAAATTGTGAGGGCTGTAATTCAGTTTGATTTTACACTTCTATTCCTTGCAATGTAGCTTTTAAACATCAGGTTACAGTCATTTTTATAATATTTAAAAAATATAATACAATGATTTGTCCAATTTTAATTTATACTTTCAATCTACATTGAAAAATTTTAGGTGCCAGTGAAGATCAGAGCTTTCAGATTAAAGTAAGATTATTTTAAATTATTAAGTCTAGTACTTAAGTTACCATACTTATGTAATTATGCCACTCATTAAATGGTTAATGAAAGCTGAAATGCAATTTTAATGACAACTACCTATTGTTTATACATTTGAAATCTGAGAGATAAGTCAAGATTTTTGTAGCTGTGTCAAGGTGTTTAGAAAGATGAGAACTGGACTGAGTATTATTCAATTTTTAACTCTTATTTTTTTCAAAATATGTATCAAAGATTTTTAATCCTAAAATGGATCATAGCATTCAAAGTAGTGACTATTAATAAAACAAACCACAAAAACAAAAAATGTTTGTAACTAATCTAGCTATATAGATTTTAATTCTTTCAAAACAGAATGAAGTTGGAAGATATGGTTAATATATTTACACCTCTTCTTTTAAAGTTAATAGTATTATAATAAATAAAAAAGACAAGGAAAAATATTCTCTGACTTGTTAAACGAAAGTTTCCTATAACACATGTTATTTAACAGCTTGCAGACATTTCCTGTGAAGCATTCCATAATCGGCATAGAAAAAACACTACATTATACATTTAAAATATGAGCCTTGATTCTCCTTAAAACTAAACATTATGGCTATTTAAATATGTAGAATCTCATCAATAGAACAAATCTTCCTTTAAGATGATATTTATCAGATCAAAGATAAAACTCTCCAAATAAGAAACATGATTTTTCAAACATCCAAATTTTATCATCATATTACAAAGGCTTTCTTTGGTTTATAACCATTACCAAATTAAAATGTCACATTAAATGCAACGTTCAAGGTACAAAAAAAGGTTTTAAAAAAACCCCAGTTGTTCTTTCTCAGACACATACCAAATAAGGAGTACAACTGTTTCACTAATAATAATAGAAAAAAGATTTCAGAGTTCGTTATTTGGGGGGAAAATCAATAAAGTTTTGAAGCAGGAAAACTGCTTTGTTTCCTCAATCCTCTAGTTGAAATTAATTATAGCAAATATTTATGAAAACATCTGTTCCTCATACTTATAAATTCTTAATCTTAGAATGGACAATTCCAGATTCTTGTTTACGAAGACAATTGTCTGAATATTGAAAGGTTTACAAATAGACAGAATATGGAAAAGGGAAAATACAGTGTACTGTATATTATAGAGACTTTAGTTTGTGGAAACATGTGAACAGGCTTAAAACTATGAGAAATCAATGACAAATAGAAAATTTTATCTCTCATTTAAGTTGTTATATGACAAAAACATATCTGTAACATAGAGAAACAACAAGTAAGAATTATGAACAATATTACACCACTACTGAGTTTAATTTAGAGATAATTATAATACAGGAAGTATTAATTTTCTCAGGGACATAAATAACTGTGATAACAATAAAATCATGAAACACATTGTAGTGTTCCCAAAAATGACAACAGAGGGTGCAAGCGAGTTTAATATGACATTTTTAGTTGTTATTCTAAGTCTAAAACTAAGTTGTCGGGTAGCCATAAATGAAACAAGGATTCATAGACTACTTTCCCATAACAAACACACCCATACACACACACACACACACACACACACACACACACACAGAATATAAATTTTTTACAAAAATTTTTAAATGATTAAGAAGCACCATGTGGTTTAAGATAATGGATTTTTACTTATTTGAAAAAAATTATCTAACAATAAAATGTTATAATTCAAATGCTATTTAAAAGGTATTTCAACAGCTAATGTAAACTAATGAGTAAAACAATATGGATATAGTTTATGCAATTTAAATACATGAACAATTATATTCAATATTTAACATTTATTCTATTTTTTGATATCAGATATCTTTCTGCTTCATGAAGGAAAAACCGGAGACTTTAAGCTAGTTTAAATGAGCAATGGCCAGAATAACAGTACAAATACATGAATCTATTTAAATATGCCTCGTCTATAATCTGAAAACATTGAGGTGTAAAGTATCACATCATATTAAGTATGAATTCTACAAGTATTCCATAATAAAAAAGGATTTTATCTCTGAATTGTTATCAACTGTGTATGAAATTGAGCAGTAGGAAGGGAAAACGATTTTGTTCAAACTAACATGAAAACAAAGCTATAAGGAATAGTAAAGACTTGACAGCTTTTGTGTCTTTAAAAGGAAATACCAACAACTATTGAAATGTTTTAATGAAGTTCAGAATCCTTTATAAACTAAAGTATATTCACATGTTAACACTTAGTGAAAAAAAGGTCAATAATATCAGTAAATATTCTAACCACTAAGGTTAACTTTTCAGAAAGAAAAATCAGAAGGTATACAACAAACAAGGTAATATGGCTAATTCAAAGGAATCAAACAAACTAGGAGTTAAGAAATTGAATTTAATAGACAATGATTTGAAAACAACTGTCTTAAGTTTGCTCAAAGAGGAAAACAGGCAAAACAATGAAAGAAGAATAAAATGAAAGGACAGAAATGACGGAAATTCTCAAACTAGTAAGGAACTAAAATGAGAAGTTGATTAAAAAGGTTCAAACAGGTGTGAGAAGGCACAGCATATCATTAGCAGGCTTGAAGACAAAACAGTTAAAATTATCAAGTCTCAGAAACAAAAAAGTGAAAAAAGTGAACCAAGACAGAGAAAACTGTGTGACACCAGCAAACAGATCAACACATAAATGATGGGGGTTTCAGAGTCTGAGAAAACAGCAAAGAAAATTGAACTGTGATTCTCAGATCTGTTTCCTTAGTATCTAGGATTACAGATGTCATCCACCAGAGCCTAGCTCCACTGTATTTTTTTTTATGTCAGTTTTTCCTTTTTCATTTGGGCTTGGGTTCAAACTCAAGGCCTATTGAGCCACATCTCCAGCCATTTCTGCTTTAGTTATTGTTCATATAGGGTTTTGCTTTTGCTCAGGGATGGCATGGGGCCCTCTATCTAAATGTCCTGTGTACATGATACTATCAATGGATGATTTGTTTGTTGAGATGGGAGTCTTGATAACTTTTGCCTGGGTGGCCACAAACTGCAATCCTCCCAAAGCCTATATCCCAAGTAAAGCAGCTGGGATTACAGGTGTAAGCCACTATACCTAGTTTGCCTTCTTAACAAAATATAAATGGCCATTTGTTTTACACAATGGCTATGAAAGTTTAAATATAGTGTCTTATCATTCAAAAAAATTAGATTTTCAGAGTACCTAATACTTACAAAATTTTAACCCTATCATTGAATAACCTAGTTAGCACCTAAATATAGGCATAGGGATCATACTAGGTATTAACATCCTATTTCATTTTCTTTTTTCTTTTTTTTTGGGGGGTCCTGTCACGGGCCTGAACTCTGGACCTGGGTGCTGTCCCTCAGCTCTTCACTCAAGGGTAGCGCTCTACCACTTGAGCCACAGCGCCACTTCCAGCTTTTTTCTGTTTGCTTATGTGGTGCTGAGGAATAGAACCCAGGGCCTCATGCATGCAAGGCAAGCACTCTACCACTGAGCTACCTTCCCAGCCCTCCTATTTCATTTTCTATAACTCTTTCAAATAATATCCATAGAATACTTGTATCAAAGTTTTCTTTTTCTTCAATGTGAAAAACAAAAACAAAAACTATATATCTATATATAAAAAATGTATCTATATAAAAACTATATACAAAAACTATATATCTATATAAAAGATTCCTTTGGGAAGAACCCATTTTCACTATTATTTATAAATCAGTACTAGATTTCCATAAGAGTAGTTTAATATATAGTC